AACAAATTTTCTTGCTGTTCAACAGGGATCTGCTCGTGACCAGTCAAATGGATTCAAGTTGAAAAATCAGCCTAGTAAATCATCAAATAAATTATATAATGGTTCTCGTGGCAGAAATAATCTGGGAGAATCTGGTTTTAGTTCTGAGGAGATGGCAGCTATTCGAATACAAACTGCATTTCGAGGCTACAAGGTTTGTAATCCCAATTTTAACAAATATCCTTGCTTGTAACTATTTGAAATGTTTGATGTGCGTGAGGACTTTAGTTGTTGAAGTAAGAAACTAGGTTTGTGTTGCAACTGATAGCCGATAGATGCTAGGTTAAGCTAGATGCTGGGAGCTGTAGTTTGCATATCTATGCTTAATTTGTACATCAAATGCATGCTACATGATACATTTCCGTTGAAACTTCACCGGTTCTCTTGCCTTTGTTAATTTTCTATATCATGAGCATTTTTTTGTATTCCATCTTTTTGATGAGAGAAAATATGAAATCCAATTTGTTTTGTTTTACAGGCTAGGAAAATTTCACGCCAACTGAAAGGAACACAAAGATTAAGTTTCCTTTCTGATGGCGGTTCTGTTAAAAGGCAGACATCTCTCACTTTGCAGTTTGCTCATTCCTGGAGCAAAATACAAACACAAATAAGAGCTCGGCGTGTTTCTATGGCAACAGAAGGCCGAATTAAGCAAAAGAGATATGAAACCCAAACAAAACTTGAGGCCAAGCTTCATGATTTAGAAGTATGCTCTCTTCGCTCTCCAGTCCTCTTAGAGTTTCTTTTTCTCAAGGTGTTTTTGCTTTTGTGTTAAATATCCCGTCAAATGTGAGGCTTCTATGGTTTGATCGACTATTGTAAGTTCCTTCTTAGAAGCGTATTGATTTCATGATGCATCATTATACTGATCCTATGCATCAAACTGCAGTTAGCATTTTGATTTAATGCGATGGAATCTGTTAGTAGAGATAGCCACTTTCTCTCGACTAATTATAATTGACTTTGTAGTTTTTCGTGTTTTTTCTAAAGGTCAATTTTTTTTTTCTTCAAGGGCATTAGCAGGTGCACAACGCAATTGCTAGAGTTTTTGGGCAGAGATTGATGTGTGCAACCTTATCACTACTCCTAGTTTACATTAAGATATTTTTTTTATCATTTTATTGAGATGCAAATCCCACGGGAGAAGTGAATTAAGAGTTAAGTCCCTAATGCACTAATTGTAACATTTATTAGTCAGCTTAAGTTTTCAGATTGATGTGCATCTATCTACTCGTATAATGGGCTCGACGAGTGGGCTCCAGTGTTTAACCTCCTAAAAAATGATATAAGATTCAATGATTTGGCTATGGTCCAGTGTCTTATATAATTTGTAGCTCTCATAGCTCTTAGTGACTTTCAAGCATGGCCATATATACAAGGTTCAAAAGTGGTTGTCACCCACACTGACTCCATGTCATGGGGTTAGCTCTTAGTTTTGGCTAATGATATTGAATAGTTATTATTTGTGGGATAGGTATGACTGATGTGGAGTGCTCTTTTATGTGGGCTTCAAAAATTCGTGCCCCGGCCTCTCCGCGACCTCTTTCTTTTTCGGAGCGTCGAGGAGAGTTTTAACATTTAAGTTTCGAGGTAAATTTTCAGAAGGCAAATTTGGTTTTAAATAAGACAATGCCTAGAGATTTTACCCTCATTTTGTGAGGACTTTATGATCTGAGTTCAGGTTTCGTATAGGCTCAAGCCCCTCTAATTATCAGTGGACCTTACATTTAGCATAAACCATTGGTTTGATTGGTGTTTAACCATTAGCATATTTGGCTC